GATTGCTTCCGTTCCTAGGCCCGGGGCCCGATCCCTAGATCCCTCGTTTTGATTCTCCTGCCAATCGGCCACGTAAGTAGCCACCCTCCGGTAAAACTTGGCCCGAAAAACCTCCCACACCTGATACTTATAGTGGTTAATCATAACGGTTCCTAAAGGCAAGTTCACATAATCGAACCCCTCCCGAAGTTTGAAATGATGAACAACGTTCAGCAGCGTGGGGTCCACAGCTTCGGGCCGGACAACCGATTTGTGCCTTTCTGGGCTCTGCAGCCTGCACGTGTAGCCTACCGTTACCCCCTTAATGGGCCTGTCGCTCAGGCCCGAAGGCCCAAAGCTGTGGCACGATGCTCGGATTTCCCCAACGTTTGCCGAGAAGTTCGCCACGAGCTCGCGGAGCGAGCCCCGGGACGCGTGGCCCAACGGCCGGTACATTTGGTGGCCGGGGGTAGAATATGGAAAGTAGAAATATTCGTCGACATCCATAAATGAGACCCAATTGCAATCGTCTCTCGCCCGCAATGCGCAGTGCGAGAATCCTGCTTCTTGAGTTTTGACCCACGGCCAAACGCGCCTCACGACTTCGTAATTTTCGAGATTGAGACGTTCGACGGCCTCGTCAAGCCCGTCGTTGCTATTATTGTCGTATATGAACCATTTTTCGACTCCGAGCCACGAATGGTACATTATCCACTCCCTTATGGCGGAGGCTTGGTTCCAAACCATCGTGCAAACGCAAAGCTCGTGTCTTTTCTTGATTTTAATATTATTACTATTATCTCTCGATTCGGATTTCGAGGAGTCAATGATAATCTTGGCTACGGATGGCACGAGAGCACGGCCATGATGAACGCGAGGAGTGAATCCAACGGTCACACGGATTTCTCGAGATTTGTGATCGATTTTACGAAGGCCAATCGGAAGGGGACACCTCACGACTTCTTGAGCAGCGGTTAGAGCTCTTGTGGAGAGTGTATATGAGTTGTTTGCACCCTTTGACTGTTTTTCGAATAATCCGAAATGGCAGGTAAATGGGCTCGGGTCGGTTTCTCTTCCGGGCCTCAAATTCAATCCCTTTACAAAAACAACTACACTGTCCCCATCAAGAACAGCTTCATAAGCCAAATTTTCCCAAGAACTGGTTACAGCTATCCGATTAATTGTCGAAAACAAACGATTTTTCCCACGAAAGATTCGATTTTTACCAGATATCAAATCGACAGCATTTGAACAATTCACAGGTGGGAGTGGGCACCTCACAACCCATCTAAACCCATCAAATTCATCTACAGAAATCACCCTTTTCCTTACAAATTCGCCGCTGTACTTTCTCGAAGCATCGATTTTCGAGTAATAAACACACTCAAAACCCTCATCCCTGCTCTTCCTCAAAAACCCATATCCTTTCCCACCACTCACCAGTAACAGAACATGGTCCGGGAGAAAAACCCGGCTCTCGATCCTCACCGGAGAAAATAACCGGCGAAATTCGCGAACCGATTTAACCGTTCTCGAGCTGGACGAGGACAATACCGACAGGCTCGAATCGACGAGAGCCGGGCGAAAAGCAGAAGCCAAAAACTGATTTCTATACGAAAGGGCGTAAATAAAGGTCAGGAAACTGAAACACACGAGAAGAGATCTTACTGACAGAAAGTGCCGAGGAAGATAACAACAGTACGAGGTAGAAGAAGACTGCCGGAGAATGCGTTTCCGCTTGCGGCGTTGATCGGAAGATTCCATTTTTCTTCGTTTAAACGATAATTGAGGGAAAAAAAAAAATAAAAAATACCCTTCAATTCTGCAGATCTGTGTGTGCGCCGATTGATGAAACTGCACTTTTTGTGTGTCTTTTTTGAAGTTTGAAAAAAAAAAATGCAAATACGGTTTTGTTGTTTGCCTGTGAGGAAATACGGTGAATGTCGGGAGAGAGAATTAGGGACAGAGACGATGTTTTTAGAGTCAGTTTTGTGAACGCGTTTATTGGGAATTTATTGGGGCCCGGCCCATTAGCTAAATGATTATTGTACTTATTATTGCATATCAATTTATTATACACATAAATATATTTTTATTTATATATTGTATTTTAAAATGTGACATTCAATGTATCAGCATATGTTAAATTCAATAGGGTCAATGTTTAAGCATATTTAGGCCATCTCCAACCCTTATCTCTACTCTATTGCGGACTTTATTCTATTCTAGAGTAGAGTTGAACATTCATCTCCAACTCTTATCTCTACATTTTACTCTACATTAAATATATTATTTTTTATTTATTTTTTTATTTCAAATAAATTGGTATATATGTATATTTAATCTTAAATTTGCTTATATTTTATTCTAATCAAATAAACTTGTTTGAGTTTGTTAAATTTTAATTCATATGGTATCATTTTA